AAGGGGCCCATATTGGGATATACATAAGACTGAAATTGTGTGTGGGGTATGCGGGTGTGTTGGTATTGTGATTGGTATTGTGGTTGGGTGTGAGGCATATGGGGGTATTGGTACTTAGGTGGTTACTGTGGTTGGTTGTGGGGCATTTGAGTGTAATTGTGTTGTGGTGGGGATTGTGGTTGGGTGTTGTGGTTCTTTTTCTTCTGGGGGGTTGGTGGGAGGTTGATGTGTTTTGGGTTTGTTGTTGGGGAAACGAGGGTTGTGCCCATTGTGTGCGTGGGTCAACCAAGGATCCTGGATGAGACACGTGCATTGCAGGGTTACTAACCGACTTGTGTGACACCCCAAATAATCCGATTATTAAATAATTAGAATTTTTAATTATTAATTTAATTGGAAATTTAATTATTGGTATTTTTGGATTATTGGAATTAATTTAATTAATTAAAGGAAAGAAGTATTGGTGGTGTGAAGAGTGATTAGAGGGTGTGAGGGGTAAAATACTCCACTCTTACTAATTACTAATTTAATTATTCTATTGGAATAATAAAAGGAGTATTAAAAGGAAAAAGAAGAGAAAGAGAGTTATTTTGGAATATTCATCATACGTGCATTTGAGAAGAGGAAAAAGAAGGAGAAAACCGGAAGCATCAGAATTCGAAGAACCCACAAGGTAAGGGGTGATTTCAATTAGTTAATTCATATTATTGGTTTAGATATTCAATAGTATGGATCATAGTATGTTAGGGAATCCCGGTTTGTAATTCTAGGGTTCCGTAGAATTGTCCCTATTGCGTCGAATTGTAGGTTGAAAACCATTAGGGTTTCAGATGATAAAAAGGAATGATGAAATAATGTTGTTTGATGTTATAATGGTGCAAAATGGATGTGTTTTGGTGTTTATCATGTTGCAATTCGTATGGGTATGTTTGGAATTGGTTTAGAATGAATAAATGCTGTCAAAAGTGCAGAATTTGACTCTGCAGGTCGTGGGAACCGGTTCCCAGTGGGGGGGAACCGGGTTCCACTGTGTGAATTTATAAAAACTGGCAAAAATGCACGTAGGAACCGGTTCCTGTATAGGTAGGAACCGGGTTCCCATACATTTTTCCAAAAGCGTGATTTTTGAACTTCGCAGGAACCAGTTCCTGCATATGTAGGAACCGGGTTCTGTTGTAACTTTTTGAAAAATATTAAACTTTGAAAATTCATAACTTTCAAACTGTAAGACCGTTTTGAGTGCCGTTTTAGACGTTATTTCTTAAATTTAATGCTCTATTTTATAAAATGAAAAGATTTCCTAAAACCTGAAATTATTTTGAAAATGAGTCAAATCCCGAAATAAGTGATTATTGGCTAACGCACATGGGTGTGTATGTAGCAGTGAACCTGTGATGGATGGATGTATTAGTATTATGTGAATGAAAGGAATGTTTATGTTGCTAATGATGGTGTGCATGATCGTTGAGATATCATGTTTTTGGTTTTGGTTCAGTTATGATAAATTGATGTATTTCATAGACTGATTTGATGTTGCATGCTAGTGACTTGCGTGCATATGCATTGTTTTGGTGAAGTTAATTCCCATTGTGTGGAATTTGACTTGTATTGCCGTTAACCGATACCCGGGTGATGATGGGTGGTTAGGCTGGATTCGTGACCGGGTGTTTATGGACGAATCGATGGTTGTTGTATCCGGTTGATGATGGATCAGTGTTGGGTGACTTGGTCACGTGTTGGTACCACATGCATTATGTCTGCATTTGTGTTTGCATGGAATTGTAACATGTTATGATGTCTTCCAGTGTTACAATTCTTTGGGTGATTATTGATCTGTGCATAATGACTTGTATGATTGGAACTGCGTGTTGAATCTGAATTTATGCTAAAATGGGTGAAATAATATGCTTGTGATATAATGTTGATTGAGAAGCTTATAATGCATGTTAATTATAAGAAATCTCACCCTTACTTTAACAATTTCAGATTAAAGTTAGCAGCTCAGGAGTTGGTGAGGATGGCTCTAGAGCTATGTTACTTTAAGTCCGCATGTCAGTGTCATGCTCTGATAGGTTGTAACACTGGGGAACGTTTAGTGAGGAATTAGTTATTATTCAATTGTTTCTTTGAATTTCATTGGGAATAATTATGTTTTGGTTTATTCCGTTTTGGTTATGGTATTTTTCCGCTGTGTAAGACATGGTCTTAAGTTAATTGAATTATTTGAATAATGACCCTCAGTGTAGCATGACTGCTGTTTTATTGGAAGTTTTATTTATTTCATAATTGTGACATCCCTTGTTCTGTGTTAACTCTGATGGAATATGTCTTTAATCATTGATATAATTAATATTATTCGGGGTATTTTAGAAGGGGTGTTACAATAGTGGTATCAGAGCATAGTCGGTCTTGTCTTGTGTCGTTATCCCTTTTGTATGCGACTAGTGTAAGATAACACTGTCGATACTTGTGTGCTGATGAGGTTGTTTTGTAATGTTACCGAACAATGGCCGGAAGAGGTAACGGAAGAAACGACGATGCTATTGCTGAAGCATTGGGAATGTTGGCTGGAGTACTCGGAGGGAACCAGCAGGGAGCTGTGATTGGTGTTGACCAACAATTGGGGAATTTTCAGAGGAATAATCCTCCGTTGTTCAAGGGTGCACATGATCCCGAAGGTGCTCATAAGTGGTTGAAGGAGATCGAGAGGATCTTCAGAGTAATTGACTGTGCTGAAGGGCTGAAGGTGAGATACGGAACTCACATGTTAGCAGAGGAAGTTGATGACTGGTGGGTTGCTACCAGAACTGAAATGGAAGAAAATGGTATTGCATTGACTTGGGCTGTGTTCAGGAGGGCTTTTCTGAGGAGGTACTTTCCTGAGGACATCAGAGGCAAGAAGGAGATTGAGTTTCTGGAACTCAAGCAGGGTAACAAGACTGTCAGTGAGTATGCTTCGAAGTTTACTGAGTTAGCGAAGTATTATGCTCATTATACTAACGATGCAGATGGAGAATTTTCCAAATGTATCAAGTTTGAGAATGGTCTTCGTGATGAGATTAAGCAGGGTATTCGGTATCAGCATATCCGAAGATTTCCTGATCTGGTTGACTGTAGTAGGATTTTAGAGGAGGATCTTTCTAGCACTAAGTCGAATGCTCAAGGGTATGTTGATAGGAAGGGTAAGCAACAGATGGATCGTGGTAAGCCTTATGATAGAAGTAATCAGAGACCCGGTGGTTGGAAGAAGTTTGGTGGAGGAGATTCTAGTTCTTCCATTAAGTGCTACAAGTATGGTGAGACAGGACATCGTATGGTGGATTGCAAAAGTAATGATAAGAAGTGTTTCAAGTGTGGGAAACTCGGCCATGTGGCCAATGATTGCAGAGTAAGAGTGGTGACTTGTTACAACTGTGGTGAAGAAGGTCATACTCGTCCTCAGTGTACAAAACCCAAGAAGGAGCAAGCTGGTGGTAAAGTGTTTGCATTGTCTGGGTCAGAGACTAAGCCAGATGATCGGCTGATTAAAGGTACATGTTTTATTAATGACATACCTTTGATTGCGATTATTGATACTGGAGCAAAACCAAATTATTGGCCTGCATACAACAGCGAAATAGTGTGGCACAATGACCAAATACGAAGGAACAAGAAGGGTCGTCCCAAAAGTAAGCGCATCACAACAGAAATGGACGATCTTGACAAGTTGGAAAGAAAGTGTGGTTTATGCCGTCAGGTCGGACACAATCGCAAAAATTGTCCGAATCAGGCGTCTGCCTCGACCACATAAAAATTGTAATACATAAAATATTTCCTTAATTATGTTGTAAACATTAGGGTTTTCCGTTAACAGATTTTGCTACAATAAATATTGCGCGTACAAGAAAAATTAACGATATCCCGTCTACGAAATTACAACTGTTAACACAATTTCATCTGACCCATGCATCATCAACATTACATCGCTGTCTGTTTTGACTTCCTCCAACCATACATTAGGTCTTCCTGTCGCATGTGAGGTTGTTGTTCGTTTTCGCTGGATCCTTCGAATTTTCCCCCCTCCGCAATGTCTCTATCTAGCCATCGCATCAACTCCCGCTTCAGACGCTCCATGGAGTGAATGTGCCAGAATTTCATTTTCATCGCATGTTTCGTGGCGGAGAAGATAACGTAACCATCTCTGCTAAAAATCATGGGTGACGTTATGACGCAAATAATAGAGTAAAAAATAAAAAAACAGTGCGAGAAAGTGTGAGAAATTTCGGAGAAACGGACAAATTATTTATAAAACAGCATTTTGCCCTAGTTTTGCCCTAGGAGCCAAGTGAGTCGGCGCCTCCTCTCACTTTTAAAGTGCATGCGCCATCTCACTTGGCTAAAAGTGAGAGGAAGCGCCGAGTGAGATGGCGTCTAGGGAAAAACTAGGGGTGGAGGCGCCAAGTGAGATGGCTCCTCCTTTGGGGAGTCATCTAAAACATAGTTATTTGCGTAATTTTTTCCGAAACGCGGTTATTTGCAAAATATTATTTTAATACTTGGTTATTGTAAAAAAAATTCTTTATGGGATGGTTGTGATTATGAAGAAGAGGAAAAATATTATATTTATTTTTTAAATAATTAAAATTTTATGATTGATTATGTGTAAAACTATTTTTTATAGTTGTTTCTACCTAAGAATTTTCCCATTACTTAATTAGTTTAAAAATTACTCTTACATGATTAGTTATATTTATTATTTAATATTTGAAACGTTAATATGTTTACAAAATTGGGTATTTTTATATCCCTCTTGTTTTTTGAATTCTGTTCTTTTCTTTCCTTGCAGCATCATGTAACAAAAACTATGTTACATCTCACGCTATACTTTGTTTTTGTTCTTTTGAAAAGATTAGAATACTTGTCACTCAAATTATTCTTCTTCAATCTATATAACAAACACATACAATGATAGTTTTCAACTACCCAAGGAGCAATTATATTTCGCAGCACAATTTAATATTATGATTAATTCATTAATTGCCAAAGTCAAGAGAGTTCTTCAAGGATGTGGTGCAGTCGCTGCATCTGAAGAAGATGCGAAACTTCTGGGTATTGTGGGAAGTCCATTTGTGATCAGAGTTCAAATTGCTTTGGCATTGAAGGGAATTGAATACAAATTTGTTCCAGAAAACATAGCTAACAAAAGTGAACTTCTCCTCAAATACAACCCAGTTTATAAAAAGATTCCTGTTTTTGTTCACAAAGAGAAACCCGTGTCAGAATCACTTGTGATTCTTGAGTACATCGATGAGACATGGAAACAAAATCCAATCATTCCTTCTGATCCTTACCAAAGAGCCATGGCTCGATTTTGGTCCAAGTTCATTGATGATAAGGTAAGTAACTCTAGTGCGTACATCAATAGTTCAATACTCTTCATGATATTTTTTAATATACGTAACTTTAAGTTTTGAAATCAGTGTGTGGTTGCTGCATTGCGATCTGTTTTTTTGGTTGATGAGAAAGAACGCAAGATGGCTAGTGAAGAATTGTTTAATGCTTTACAGTTTCTTGAGAATGAGTTGAAGGACAAGTTCTTTGGAGGAGAAGAGATTGGCATTGTGGATATTGCTGCTCTCTTCATTCCTTTAATGCAAGAAATAGCAGAGTTTCAGTTATTCACCAGTGAGAAATTACCAAAGCTACACAAATGGAGTGGAGATTTTTACAACCATCCAGCAGTTAGAGAAACTATGCCTTCAAAAGAACAACAACTTGCGTATTACAAAGTTGTCGCTGGAATAATAAATAAGTAGTTTTCACCCATGACAAATATATATTTTAGTAGAATAATAAATAAAACAATTAAGTTGTCATCTATATGTCGAAAATATATAATTTAGTATATTAATAAATAAAACAATTAAGTTTTCACTTTTATATTACATTTTTTAATATATATATATATATATATATATATATATATATATATATATATATATATATATATAAATTAAATAGTCTGGATACATCAGAAATATATATTTTAGTAAAATAAATAAAATAAGTAAGTTATCAATTACCCGTATTTCGAACAGGTCATTCAATATCGTTATAAATAGTAAAAAAATATATTATAGTGAAGGTTAAAAAATTTATATAAAAATATACAAATTAAATAGTCTCGACTCATCAAAAATCTATATTTTAATAAAAAAATAAATGAAATTAATACATAGATTACACAAAAAGGACATGTCTTTAAAATAAATATTTGAAAAAAAATCTAAAATAATAAACCAAAACTATCTTATATAAATAAAGAATGAGATTCCTTATAATTTCTAATAATATAAAGTTATATAGTTATGTTTATAAATATAGGTTAATATTAATATGTGAATTAAAGTAGGGATCACAGATAAATTAAAAAATATTACAATTAAATTTATGTTAATATTTTACTGATTATATATATCGGCTCTTTTTTCCATTTAACTCACCTATTTAAAATCATATATATATACTATTTTTAGTAACAATTTTTTTATAAACTATTAAGACTTTTGAAATAAAATATAGTAAAAAAAAATAATTAAAAATATTTATTTCAATTTGTTTATAATTACAATTAAAATATAATAAACAAATAAATTATAAAGTGAATATATATATATATATATATATATATATATATATATATATATATATATATATATATATATATAATTTACTATTCTTGTATTTCACTTTATAATTTATTTGTTTATTATATTTTAATTGTAATTATAAACAAATTGAAATAAATATTTTTAATTATTTTTTTTTACTATATTTTATTTCAAAAGTTGATCTGACCTGATCAGGAGGTTTGGACCGTCACGGCTTACTCCGAGCTGAAGGCTTTTTGAACGAGGAGGGGGGGGTACCTGCAAGGCACTCCGATGCTGAAGTCAGTGGGAGTACTAGCAGATAATAGAGTTGAGGTTAGAATGATCAATACCTGACCCTCTGGAAACAGAGGGTATTTATAGCCCCCAGCGCTGGGCCAAGGTTCCTTCATTGGGCCGGGCGGATTTGGCCCAGTGGAGGAACTGCCAGGTTCTACGTGGGTAGTAGGGACCAGCACGTGGTCCCCTTCCTGGATGTGCTGCGTGAAGTGCGGGCGGACAGAGACGCGGTCTTTCCGGAGTATCGTTGGGGCAATGGAGGACTAAGTCTGCCCTAGCAAGTTAGCTCGAGACCATGTCGAGCTGCGCAGCACGGTGCCGAGCTCGACGCCAAGACCTCGAGCTGGACAGCGAGATGTCGAGCTGGAAGCCAGGACATAGAGTCGGGCGGCAGGGTGTCGAGCATGACTTCACTGCGTGGGCTGGACGTTGAGATGTCGAGGAGGACGTTAGGGTGTCGGGCATGGTCGCGACCCCCTTTGCCCCGGTGTGGTCCTTAGTGAGTCCCTTTGGACTGGGCCTTAGTAATGCTTTTGGGCCTGTCGGGCCCAGTCCAGAACAGGAGCCCCCCAAGTCGTGGTTCCTTTGCGAGGAGCCATGACTTGAAACAGTTGTTCCGTCGCTGAGGTCTCGTACCCGGAATGGAGGCGTGGACCCTCGAGGGGTCTCCTCGTGCCGTGCTCGGAGACGTCCTCGGTGGTGGATGCGTGGAGGATCCTTGCCGGGCGCGTCGGTCGAGCACACGAGGTATCTTTCGGGAGTTGTGCCGCCACCCTAGGGGGTAGGGCCATCATTGCGTTGGGAGCAGCGCGTCGAGGAGATGGAGTTCGTGGCTGAACGAGGTGACGTTTGGTATTCCACGTCATCACTATAAATAGGGTCCTTGGGCCCCATAATATGTTTTCCGTTCTCCTTGCTCTCTCCGTTGCCGCTCTCAACACTTTCTCCGGTTGTGACTTCCCGTCTCAGATTCTTCATTTCTTAGCCAAATCTCAACTTTGATCCAAGTAAGTGGCCTACTTTCTTTATTTTTCCGTTTTAGAATGCATGATTCTTGGAGATTGTAGATGTTTTAGGACCATTCGTGTGGGATTAGCCCGGTAGACTCGTGTTTTGCCCGACATATTCATGTCTAGGACCGGTAGACGCATATTCATGGTCGACACATTCAAAGTTTTAGGAGAAAAACTTCAGAGCTGCCCGGGGTCTTCATGATCCGGGCGCCTAATTCACGACCGTGCCCGGTATGTTCATGGTCGTGGCCGTGGGCTTCATAGCGCGGCTCGCCATGTTCATACCTCGGGTCGACATACTTGAAGAATGGTCGCGCAGTTGGTTTGAGGAAGAACACCGGGTTCAGGAGAGTCGGGGAGGCATCCACTTGTGAAAATGGACTTGTGTAGTAGTGTACGGACGACATGATTATGTCGAGCATAGGACTTCATGCTCAATCTGATTGGTTTCCCGTGCTCTGCAGGTAACCATGGCGGATGAGCCGAGCAGTTCCGGTCGTCGTGATAGCGAAGAACAGAGTGCCGACGAGTCGGCCAACCTTATAGATACCGTGACCGACCCATCGCTGGAATGGGTGGGCGCCGAGCCTCGGGGGACGGCGTCGATATACAGTCGGGATGACCGACATCCGTTCACCGCTATTGAAGAGGGGCAGGACCAGCCCGACTTCCAGCAGAATTTCGTGGTCATGTTGCCGTCGACCAACGCAAGAATTTGTTCAATGTACCCGAACTACAGCTTTGCGATGTACGAGATCGCGTTTAAAGACTTGGGGATGCGACTGCCGTTCACAGACTTTGAGACCGGGGTCTTTACGCATTTGGAGCTGGCCCCGTCCCAGCTACACCCAAACTCTCTCGCCTTCATCCGGGCGTTTGAGCTGACGTGTCGTTACTTAAGGATAGGGGCGACCATCCCTCTCTTCTTTCGTGTATTCCACCTACAGCGTCAGTCCCGAGGAGGGAAGCACAGCTGGGTGTCCCTGAAGCAGTCGAGGAGACTGTTTAGGATGTACATGGACTCTGTGAGGGGGTTCAAGGATAAGTGGTATGTGGTTCGCCCTACTACCGACTCTGCTGTGGATTCCCTCTTCGAGGAGGAAGGGCCGGTCAGCGATGATGACGGGGAGGCAATGTTGGGCGACGACGGGAGCCCCGTGTTAGGACGTCGGGCTAAGTTCCCGGTGTATTGGATGTCCCGACACTTCGAGCACGGAACAGGTTATTTCCATACCGCAGTCGGGGATATGTGCACGGAGGATCAGCGGGCGTACGAGGCTCTCTGCAACTTCGTCGACAGTTTTCATCCCGCCCAGTGGGTTACACGGGAAAGGAATGACATCCTCGACAAGGACGGTTATCCGACATTCGAGGCTCGCCCGATCGACACCAAGGCGCTGGTGGAGTGTTCGACATATAGGCAGGCAGCCCGCCTATTAGGTTATTTGTTTGAAATTCTTTATTCGTCATTTATTTATGCGGTTTGCTCGATACTGACTTTTCCTTTACTACGTGCAGGTACGATGGCTAGCCGACATGAAAGGCTCCTGAAATTGTCAACCGGCCAGAGGCGAGGCAAGAGGGTCGTGCAGGCCCCTCAGACGACGAGAATGGGACCACCAACAAATCTGAACGCTCCTCAGCCTGTGAGGGTGGATTCGACGTCGAGCTCGGGGGCGGCGTCAGATCCAGAGGTCGAGGTGATTGACGCCAGCGTCGTTCTGACGCAGAGGAAGAGGACCCGCGTGGAAGGCGGTTCGACTGTCGGGGAAGATACCGGTCCTGTTCAATCCTTTGCCTTCCCCCTTGCTTCGAGGAGGAGGGATTTTTCGAGCGGTTCCCTCCGACCGTGGTCGCTCATGAAGCCGAGGCTATAAAGAGGATGACTAAGGAGGAGAGGAAGTCGCGGCTGGTCGCCAGCGTGGACGGGCTGGTTAAAATGGCCGAAATGGCTCTGGTGTTATCTGAGGATGCAGGGGATGCTGCTCGTGTTGAAGAGCTCGAGCAGGAGAAGGCGGCCTTGACTGCGAGCTCGCAGAAGTTGAAGGTCGCTCTGGAACGCTCCGAGGGGATGTTCCAAGAGCAGACCGCGATACTTGATGCCGAGAGGGAGATGCTGACCTTGGAAAAGGAGAAATCGGGGAGGTTGATTGAGGAAGGGGAGTTGCTCCGAACCGACAGGGATCGCTTGGCCGCTGAAGTCGAACGCCTGGGTAAACAGGTTTAAGAACTGAATGCCGTTCAGCAACCTGCCGAAGATGAGCCCGAGGACCTAGTGATTTTGAAGAGTCGGGCTGAGCTTATTGCCCACATCCGGCTCCTCGAGGGGGACGCAGTCGGTGCTCTGGAAGACGGGTTCAATTCTGCAGTCGACCAGCTCTCGTTGCTAAATCCTGGCCTGATCACCGAGGGCATCGGGCACACCCACCGGGTTGTAGGTGGCGCGATCATTCCTCCGCCCGACTCTCCCAGCGTCGACAATGATGATAATGTAGAAGTTTGATATTTGTATTCTTTGGATACCGGGCCTGCGTGCCCTTGATATTTGAATTTGTATTCTTTGGGCCTGCGTGCCCGTTCATTGTATGTTTTGAACATCGCCGGCCTTCTTGGTCGGTTTATTATTGCTTTGTTGCCTTCGGGCGTTTATACCTTGTTATTTATTTTGGATTTTCTGCCCTTGTATGAACTCACATGCTTGTATGAATTTAGCTCAAGTCCCGGGCTCGAGGAGTGCCCGTAGGTGGCTTTGATTTGGCGAGCGACTATGCTCGCCTCCATTTGTGTGCAATCTCGGCCCAATTTCGGTTGGCCGGGGTTGCTTAAGTGTTTCGCTCGAGGGGAGAGATTTTC